GGCAGGCAGCTCCTAAGGGAGCGAGAGGAGAAGTTTCCAGAGCAGCAACTGTAGGCCATGCTGAGGTGAGAGGAGAGCTGGATGTTAACAGGGAGATTGTGAGTTTGAATGTCACCCAGTGGAGAGCTGGGTTTATATACTCTCAGAAACAGGTGTGGTACCCAACAGTGCTGTCCTGACATATTTGTGTGCTTCCTGGCTTACAAATGTGAAACAGTAATCTCTGTAATTGCATTGCATTTGCATAGCTTTCTGCACATCATGTTTATGGGTGTTGTCATTTCATTAAAGCAAATGATGATGAGTTATTCCTATGCCAGAGATGCCATGACTGTTTTACAGTAATGCCCAGTCTATCATGTCCCGAAACAGAAATCCCTCCTTTTCTTCTTTTCCTCATGATGTAAATTTTATGTGTTTTGTCATAGGATGTTATGAGGAAAATATTTTTCTTCTCCATGTGTGGCATGACAGTAACTTGCTGTCCTTCTTGTTAATGAATTGGGATTATTACTTTGTGTTATCTATGAAACCTACTGAAGATGGATCTTATTTGTCCCCTTCCTCCTCATTTTCCAGTATTCTGTATGGACTGTATAGCATTACTTATGTGGTTTAACTCTAAGGTCAGGAAATAAGCCAGGAAAAGTCAAATGAGGCTGAATCCAGGAAGACATAGAAGAAGACAACTGAAGTTTTTGTGATCACAAGTGACAGTACTAAGGGGCTGCATTACAACCATGTGGCTCTATCAGTCTCTCTTCCCTCCTTGTCTTGAGTCGTCTCAAATCGGGTGGGGGGATTCTAGATAATAAAACAATGTGTAAAACATGAATATATCAAATTATGCTTGTACTGTTTAAAAATAAAGCCTGTTGTTAGTTAACAGAGAATTCATATCGATGCTTGTTTCTTGGCCATGTCAAGTGGATCTGATCAATAATTTTTTTCAGTTGCATATGTGCCTTAGAATTTTCTTTACATTTTGAGAGTGATAGAGTGACGCAAAGAGACGGAACATAAAGTAGAATGAATAAGAAGGATCTGCACGTAATTGGGAACAAGAAAATGATCAAGATACATGTAAAACCTTAATAATAAATATGTGATTTAATAAATTAAAACAACTAATCAATTAAAAAGTCAGAGTTTCATTTAGGACTTTATATCTAACCTATATCCAAATAATGTCTAAGACAAATTTTGGCCCTCTCCTCATATAACCCTGTACACTCTATAAGAATAAAATTGAAATATGGATGCTTTTACAATTATTACTTAGTCCTAGCAAATGAATGTGTTGATGTTTCAGGTTTGTGCATAGCAATGCAATTGTTTTAAATAACTTTTAGCCATACTAATAATATGGTCCTTTTTTTATACCTTTAGCTAAGGAAGAAATGAAACAACATCCTAAATAAAGCGACAGTTCATTGGAGGAAAAAAATATCACCTAGGGTATGATAAGATCCATTTCATATTAGACATAGCAAGTTTTTCAAACTCTGACAATTTGATTTTGTAATCTGGCCCTAAGAATCCTAATAAAGCTATACAAAGCTTTATGATTGTTGTCACAATGATAATAAAGGTCAGACATCTTGATAATAAATTGTGAATGGTATGAGGAAGTTCATTTGTAATACCTAGAGTAGTTGATATTATCCAGCCAACTGGAACGATTGCAACAATTAACATGGAAAAGAGTAAATGTGAACAATTTGTGTAAACCAAATGTTCTTGGGAGCCATGGTTTTCCATAGCTTGTCAATCACCCTTTCCACAACTTGGCTGTCTATCATTATCAATAAGTCCTGATTTCATTGGCTTTTAACATATAGCTTGGATATGTATGTGATAGTACTGTAGGTTATTTTTTAGTTGTTGGTGTAGAAAACATTGCATTGCCATGAATGGTCATTATTTTAAATAAATAATAGTCTGTTCCTCAAGTTGATAGATTAACACATCCTTTCACCTGGCAACATTAAGCAATCATTTTTAAACCAGTCTTCTGCATTACTTTTACTCTTTAAGTATGCTTGGTTATGTGAGGACGTTAAAGATGCACTTAGTGGATATTTAGATATAGCTTGCACAGAGATGCCAAAATAAAACTCTAAGCTTTTATAAAATAAGCAAACAATGGAAATTATTTTCTTTCTTAACCCTATTTCACATGTTGAAGACAAAGTATGTATCTCAGTTCTGATATCTGCCAAAAGCATTTTAATTTTAAAAACTGTACAAGATTAGATTTGTTGAGACTTTTGAATTTGTTTTTCTTCTCTAGACTCTCTCCGAAAAGCTCAACAAAACAAAAAGTTCCCAAGATCCACAAAGCCTCTGTGTGTTTCCTTAAGGACCGTAATCTATACCCTGTGTTATAGTTTGACATCAGCATCTCCTAAGTATTCTTTACTTTGCCTAAACGTAGTCACTCCCTGGGATCAGTTCTTGCAAACCAAACTTCAATAGAACCCACAAAATAGAGGACAATTGTCAACTAAGCCTCCTTTTCCCTGAAGAGTTAAAACTGACTTGTCCATGCTGGTTCAAAACGGATGAGAATCTAGTGTCACCTTAGGCCAGGTCAGATACATAGGATATGAAATTGTCTCCTCCTATCATTTCTTTGACTCCATTCATAAGGCCTAAAATGCCCTACGCTTGTGACTCTGCTTCAATACTCTCCTTGCAGACACCACAGCTTTAATCACTATGTTTTCTCTTGCCTTTTAGGTTCAATTTCATTCAATTTATTTTGCTGTGCCCTAGTTAGTGCAGGTGAAGTACATGGGAAATGCTGTGAATCCACAGAGAATAATAATGGAAAAATAAGAAATGATGCCAAGAGTTAATGTTTCAAAGTGAATTCAAAGTGAGGCATGCAATTTATTAACTAAAAGAAGAGTAATTTCTTCACATCTCCTGTGGAAGAAAAGTGTATTCTTCTGAACATTTGGACAAACACAGAAAAATCAGGACATAAGTAAAAAACAGAGATTTTTTTCCTGGAGACCATGAATAAACATCAGTGTAAAAGAGTCATAGCATCCATGACTGGCTCATTGTCATAGCTAGAAGAAAATTGCAACACCCATAAATATCCTATTCAGGAAACTATTCACAGACATCTGCACATTTATAAGCCAGGAAGCACACAAACGCATCAAGGATGATCCTATTGAGTACCACACCTACTATAGAGAGTATATAAACCCAGCTCTCCACTGGGTGATATTCAAACTCAGAATCTTCTCAGTTAACTCCAGCATAACTTACATCTCCTCTCAACATGGCCTACAACTGCTGCTCTGGAAACTTCTCCTCCCGCTCCCTTAGGAGCTGCCTGCCCTCCTCAGGATACTGCCGTGGTTCTTCCTACCCTAGCAACCTGGTCTACACCTCTACCAGCTGCTCTCCCAGCACCTGCCAGTTGAGCTCCACTCTGCACAGTGGCTGCCAGGAGACCTTCATTGAGCCCACCAGTTGTTCTCCCAGCATTTGCCAGCTGAACTCCTCTCTGAACAATGGCTTCCAGGAGACCTGCATTGAGCCCATCAGCTGCCAGAGGTCCTGCGTGGTGTCCAGCCACTGCCAGAAGCCCTGCTACTACCCCAGGAGCTCCACACCCTGCAGTCCCTGCCAGGGTACATATGCTGGCTCTCTGGGCTTTGGGTCCAGCAGCTGCAGTTCCCTGGGCTATGGATCTAGAAGCTGCTACTCAGTGGGATGTGGAAACCGTGGCTTCAGATCCCTGAATTGTGGAGTCTATGGCTTCCCTTCCCTGCGTTATGGGTCTAAATTCTACTACCCAGTGTATGCGGCTTCCACAAGATTTCAACCTTCTTGTTATAGATCAATCTGTGGTACTGGCTTCTAGGAATTAGGCAGTTAAGTGTCTGTATTCTTACAGTATCAAAATCAAATTCTTTATGTTCTGTAAACATGTTTACTATCCATCTTCTATTCTTTTCTTTTTTCTTTCCACTAACAATTTTTCCTCTTCTACTTTTGTTAGAATCTTAGATTAAAGTTTAATCTCTATTATTCTTCAAATATTATGCTATTGAATTATAAATCAGCTATTTAGTGTTCATTGAAACCTATTTGAAAACTGAAATTTTAATTCAATAAATTTATGCAATCTGAAGCCTCAATGCCTTGTTGATAATATCACTATGTTGTTTTTATGTTTGCATTTATGTGTTGGGGGGGACTCAATTAGCTCTCAATACCTTTATCCAACTAGATTTTGAGAGCAAATAGCTTAGTTTTGGCATGTCCATATCTTTAAATTACTAGATAATTGTAAGATTGCAATTTGAATTGCAAATAAGGATCACAAAAGTGAGAGTTGCTTAAGATTGAAGGACATGGGTAAATTTTTATCATACAGATTACAGTAGTATATAATTTACTGGATTATGCATATTTTCTGGGAAAACAATGTAAGTCTAGTATGTGTATATGAATTTTCAACCAAATTCAACCGACCGATCAACTTTGACAGACTCTCAAGATATAAACTTGTTTTATCAAAAATGTCACATTTCTTAACACCCAGAGTTTAGGCACTATTCCTGTCCATTTTCTCAAAACATATGAAGGGAGAGTGACAATTATCTTAGGTGGCAAAAACTGGGTCCAGGAATTGGGGCAACTTTCTGATACTTTTCCAACTTAGCATCAACCAACCTAGGAAAAATGGTAACAGTTTTTCTTCAATTATCTTACTCTGATTGTCAAAGTGAAAGAAAACTGACTCAGAGCAATAGTGTACGGTCCATTAGGACATCAAGTTGGTCCAGAAGAGAGTCATGGTCGAATAGGACAGATCAGAGTTGATCAGAGCAGGAGCATCTAGGCTTCAGTTTCAGGACTGCATAAGACATGGACCAAAGGCAGGTTTCAGAGATGAACCTCAGTATCAATTCTATAACATAGAGTAGAAGCTATGGACTGAAGATAGTATTAAGGCACCCAGACTTCAAGAGTTCCACGGCAGGAGTGAGGAGGGATGAAAAGTGAAGGTAAGATCATGCTGCCTCAATGTAGGCCACTCAGGTCTGGAATGGAGAGTAGCTGCCTGTGGACCTCACCCAACCAACACATCACCGAGTTGGGATTAATCTTTGTTTGTAAGTTTGGTCGTATTTACTTAGTGAAATTAGTTTAATGTGTACGTGTTTCGTGTGTTAGAATTAAAATATCCTTCTGATGAGATTCTTTTAATGAATGTGGTGACCTTAAAGTCTTCTAAAATGTTTTTGGTTGAAAGTTGATTTTGTCAGAGGTAAAGTTATCTACAACTGCTTATCTCCAGGTCCATATCTTTGAAATACTGGTTCCCAGTTTTTTATCCTAAGATAGTGTCTATTGATAATGGTAACATGCATTCCCTAGAGACAGATAAATTGTGAGTTTTGATTTTTAACCTAATTGGTTAGTTAGTAGGTTTCTATTTGAAAACTTGAGATCATTGAGTTCTACCTCAAAGTTTTGTATTTTTATCATCTTGTTATTTTTAGAGATGTGTCTTTATACTAATAATTTACTGATTTGCTATTGTTTATTAATTACCCATGTCCCTTTGAGTTTGTTCATATTTCTTCTTAGTTCAAATAATTATTTCCAGTGTGCTCTGTATAGCAGAAGACTTAGTGACCATAAATTGCATAATTCTATTTCTATTGTAAGCAATTCATACTTATATTTTAATTTCAAAGATAGTTTTTCTTGGTTTAATAGTATGAGGTGGCAGTTCTATTCCTTTAGAGCTATAAATTGAATTATATCTTTCTAAGAACTCATGATCTTAAAGTTTCTATCCTGCAATCATGCATTATTCTAATGAGCCTATATTTGTCTCTTACATATTTCAATATAGTTTCAGTATTCTGTGTTTTTAGTATCTTGCCTATATCTCATGACTTTTCTCTGATCATCCTGTAAAAGTGATATTCTATAGGCTTCTTGTACTTGTATAGGTATCTCTATACAGTTTTAAGGGGGGTTCTACTAGGATTCTCCTTCTGTGAACACAATTTGCAAGTATTTTCCCCCATCTTGTTCCAAAGTTTTTCCATGCTACATCTATATTTGTTTAATAAATTTTTTCATCAAAGATTACTGGGTGTTTCAATTCTTACTGCTTTTAAATAAGTCCAGATATTATATTTTTCCAAGCAATCTATTCTTTTAATGAGACTTTCCACTGAAACTTTAATGGAACCTATTGAGTTTTCTTAATTTCCAACATCATTTCAGCTTAGGTTTTCTTTAACAATTCAATTTCTTATGAATTTTGTTTTTATAGTTTGAATTGGATTACATATTTCACTCAGCTATTTGCTTTTTGTTCTTTTGGTGTGTATCTATGTCTTGTTCAGTTGTTTGAATGTATGTAAAATCACTACTATGAATTTTTTATCTGGAATATTCTCCAGGCCTTCTTCTTTATGACTGTGGTAATACTATGTTTCTTTTGCTTCTGTACTGGGACTTGAACATCTAGCACATTTTATTGAATATATTTCTTTTTCAAATGAATTTGTTCTTCATGTACAAGTATATGAGTGTCTGCACTGACTCAATAAATAAAGGAAAATTGAAATAACTTTCAAACATTTCATTTAATCACACTGCAGTAAATTAACTAGTTATCAATAATCATAGAAACTAAAGAAAGTATGGAACCTATAGAGAGTTTACAAAACACTGTTAAATGATAGCTGTGATACTGAAAAAAATGAATATGAAAAAGAATCCTTAGAGTCACACCAAAATGAAAATACAACATGCCAACATCTTTGAGGTATAACAAAGGCAGTAGTATGAGTAAATTTTATAGCAGTAAGTTTCTACATTGGAAACTTAAGCAATTTAAAGTTAATAACTTAAGCATGTGCTCTACTGAAAACTAAACCTAAATGCAGTACATTGAAAGATAATTAAAATCAGAAAAAATATGTAGTGACAATAGGAAACACTAAAACCAATGCACAGTAAGATAGTTCTCTGAGAAAATAAACAATATAGAAAAATCATTAGCTTCTCTTGGTAAAATAATAAAGAGGGGAGACACAAATAAATGTAACTTTAAAAGAAAAGAAGACATTATAACATATACCAGTGAGATCTGAAAATACCAAGGACAAAAATATAGAATGCTCTGCTTTATTTCATTATGTTGGAAAGACTAAAAGAAGTTGAAGAATTTATAGGTACACATAACATATCAAAATTAAAGCAAGAAGAAATAAAAGATTTGTAGAAGTCTGTAACCAGTAAAGTCACCGATGCCTTAATAAAAAGTCCTCAAACTAAAAAAAGCACAAATCTAAATAAATCTAAATAAATTCATTTTATCAGAAATTCAAAGAAGTATTAACACTAACATTACTCAAATGTTTGATGAAATGGAAAAGGATTGAACATTACAAAATCCATTTTGCAAACCCAGTTGTACACTGACATCAAAACCCGAAAAACTCACAACAATAAGTAGCTAAAATTACTGACCAATTTGCCTGATGAAAATACTCTCTATAAAATACTGGAAAGGCAAATTCAATATTAAATAAAAAAGACTATGATCAAGTTGGCTTCATTCTAAATATATAGGGCAGGTTCAACAGACCTAAATTAATAAACATTATCTGTCACAATTAGACATGAAATCAGAAATAATATAGTCACATCAATAGATGCAGAAATTGCCTTTGGAATAATTCAGATTTCCTTTATGATAAACATTATAAAGAAATTAGAGTTGGGAGAATATATTTTGACATAATAAAGCCTACATATGAAAAGGCTGTAACCAACATGGTTAATGAAGAGAGATGAAAAGCATTTGTATCGAGATCAAGAAAGAGCAGTGTGTTCACTCTCTTCATTCCCATTCAATATAGTCTTTAAAGTCTTAGAGTGAAGAGAAAATAAAAATAAATATAAATAGGATACAAATAGGAAAACAAGAATTTAGTCTCTGCTTGTATTCAGATAATATTCTACACACAAGAAGCCCTAAAGATTCTATTGAAAATACCCTTAGAGCAGATAAATACTTTCACTAAAGTGGTTAAATAAAAATTAACACACAAAATCAATAGCCTTATTGATTACAAAATATACTATAAATATAAAAGAATCACTCTCACTCACAGCCTCAGGAACATGCCTAATAATCAGCACAAACAAGGAAATGAATGAAATTTCTACAATGAAAATAATACAATAAAAATGTAAATTAAAAAAGGATCTAAGTGATGAAAAGTTCTATACTCACGGATCAGAAGAAACCAACTATCCTGTGAAAATGGTCATTCTATCAAAGGTAATCTACACATTCAATAAAATATTAACAAAACTTCTAGGCTCATTCTTTATAGACAAATTTTTATAGATAAATCATATAAAAATGTATACAGGGATGCAACTGAGAAAACCCAAAACAATTTTGAACAAAAAAATTTATGAACATACCTGATTTCAAATTAAACCATCAAGCCATAATATTACATATTAAAACAGCATTGATGTCAGAAAGGTGCAAAGGTCAATGAAAAAAACAATAGTGTATTTAGATATTAATGCAAACAAATATAGCTCCCTGGATTTTCAATGAGGATGACCTTAGCCGAAATGCCCAACAGTATGGAGATGAAACCTGAAGGGACCACCTCCAGTAGACAGACAGGGTCCCCAATGAAGGGATGGGACCACTCACCCATCTTCAAAATTTTTAACCTAGAATTGTTCCTGTCTAAAGGAAATGCAGGTAAAAAAAAGTGGAGCAGAGACTGAAGGAAAAGGTCATTCAGTGACCAGCCCAACTTGGTATCCATCCCATACCCAGGCACTAAACCCTGACACTAT